TACCGGGACTCGCCAATAGAAGGTCGCAAAATTGTCTCCTTTGGCCTAAAGTCGGCGGTACGAGGGTATGCACAGTTGGTGTTTACGGCCTAGTAACCTGGTGACATCAAGAAACGCCTGAGATGACGTGAGCAATGATGGAAGACGAGATTCACCTGTTCTGCAAACAAGCAACCCGCCTCTACGACCTTCTGACACCACTCCTGCTAAGAGACACCGTTGGTACATCCAGTCCTGCTCTGCTGTGGTCATCTGCGACAAGTTTAACATCAAGACTGCCGTGTGAACTGTGATTGATATGAAGGCGTGTGGACTGTCGAGAGCAAGATTAATGGCCGAAGTAACAGTATTCTACAGCTGTCACTTGGCATTCAGCTCTACTACACTCTGTCGTCATTCAGGAGTACTGGATGGGAGTACAGGAGGACCAGGTATTGATGTCTACACATGAGAAGAAGCAAGATCGACACCGTCATCGTCAGCGCCTACATTCAGCATCCAGCAGCATCGATTTTTTTTCTCGATTACTCAATATGAACAATTGATACAAACAACAAAGTGGCTCTGAACATCTGTGTAAAGAACATCTGGACACTTTTGTTTAAATGTTGAAAAACAGAGTTAGAATCACAATACTTTATAAATGTTGAAAAACAGATTTAAAATAATAATTCTAGTATAATATATGAATTTTACTCTATAAATTGGTCAGTAATCAAAATCGAAGCCCCTGTGTAATTGTCTCAGCCCAGAACAAACGGTTATGGAAAATTATGTTGTGTGCTATTTTTTGCAGAATGTTTGAACACAGGAGAGGCGGACCAATATAAACATTGACACTTCTAGTGAGTGAGAACACTTGGCTGTACAGTCAGCTGAAACCTGTGATATAGTATAGGAATTTTTTTTATATTTTTAGATACATGAAATAAACGTTAGGTGTGTTCCTTAACATGTCAAAGTTGACATTGATGGGGAGTGGTTAGTACACGGATGTGAACTGATAGTTCCGTAGTACGCTCCCGGATGACTGAAAGTTCAGTCTGATGATATAACTTTAATGTTTGTTTGAGCACGGTGTGGCCGGCTCTAGAGGACACATGGACTTGGCTAGTGAAGAGCCAAGAGAGTTTAATAGCTAGTCTTTGATGGTAGAGTAGGGACATGTTATTTAGCTATGTCAGTGAGGGTAGGATGTATGTTTCCTGATATTGGAGGATTGCTGTCAGTTGACAGCTGAGAAATTTATGAAATATGAACATGTTTATTATGATGTTGGACTATTATTTGTCAAATTTTATTAGTTAGGTTAGCTTTTGTTTGTGGCATGAGTTGAATTGTGGGTTTGGATACTAAACCTCGTGAATTTTAACAAATTAACAAGGTTTACTAAGTGCTTGTGCGGGGGGGTTGTAACAAACTAGGCTGTTGTAAGAATTATCCAGAGTGGTTTATCGACAAAAGAGAATGGGAAGCTGAGCCGCATGGTGACCTGACCCCCAGGGGAATTCGCGGTGGAAATAACCGACGCTTTGTTCATATCTGCGTATAATGAATCATCCTATAGTATTCAGGAATTTAGAGAAAATTAGCCTTTATTCATTTTGCATTAAAATTGTATTGTATAATAGTACTGGGTACAATATCAAGAGTATTCTAATTATTGAGTTTAAGTCACCATCAGTGACGTCACGAATCAGATCTAACTTTTGAGGCGGAGTGACCGGCGGTCATAGGTCAGCAGGGTTGACATGTCTAATATTTCTCAAAGTTTTAATAACCATTTTTGTGATCGGGAACAGCTCTGCCGTTAGATGTTTGTAATTTAATTCAGTAAAATAATTCAACCAGTCTGGATCAATTCAGTATAAACAGAGGATAATTGTTATAACTTAACCGTGCTAAAGTAACTGGGTAAGCGATGCGGAACAATACAAGGTTCTAGTCTGGGCTAGGCCAGACGAGGACAAGTCAGTGTGAATACGGGAGCAGCTGGGAGAGGTCAAACATCTTACCTCTCCCCAAGACCACCCAACACCTAGAGCTGTGGTCGCCCAAGGTATAGTTGCTATTGTTAATTATAGGGATAGTCTTCTCATTTGCCACTCAGGTCAAGTAGGGAGTGTTAAAGTGATAGGGAGTGAACACATTTAGATTTTGTTTTAGTTTTCTTTTAATAAATTAAATTTGTTATTAATTTGCATTTTATTGTTTCCATGTGTTTTATGTGTATACTTGTCCTGGTCACGTGGTCCACACGAGGCAGAGTTGCATTGGGCGCCGAGTCTAACATCGAATCGGAATTATCATTACCGTGTAATTTATTCCACACTCAAGGTCATCGTTTATAGTGGGGATCAAGCCCCTAGGTTGATTAATTAGCGTGATCGATCCAGACCTCGATCATTGCTCTTGTATTACTGGTCTGGTGGTGGCAGCAGAGGTGACTCTAGGGTTTTGTTCAGAGCTTAGGTCACGTCATACTGGGTGTAGAATCCTAAGTCGGTCAATCGTCTTAGGACCACGTGGCGTGGAGTTGGCTTTGGTAAAAGTTTTGGAGTCCCTTGGTAGAGAATAATAAGTAAGCATACGGGTAGAGGGAGTAGAAAGAAGGAAGAAAAGAGAGAGGACCCAAACCCGTGTTACACCCTGGGGATTAGCAGGTCTGAGTCACAAATGGCGGGCGTCTCTGTTCATAGTTGCGTATAATGAATCATCCTATAGTATTCAGTAATTTAGAGAAATTAGCCTTTATTCATTCTGTATTAAAATTGTATTGTATAATATTACTGGGTACAATATCAAGAGTATTCTAATTATTGAGTTAAGTCACCATCAGTGACGTCACGAATCAGATCTAAGTTGTAAGGCGCGAGTGACCGGCGGTCATAGGTCATCAGAGTTGACATGTCCACTATTTTCTCAAAGTTCAAATAACCATTTTGGTGATTGGGAACAGCTCTGCCGTTAGATGCTTGTGTAATTTAATTTCAGTAAAATAATTCAACCAGTCTGGATCAATTAAGTACAACAGAGGTTAATTGTTATAACTTAAACCTGGCTAAGTAACTTGGTAAAACTTAGACTATGCGGAAGGATACAATGCTCTAGTCTGGGGAAGACCAGACGAGGAGAGATCAGTGTGGGCTCCAGATCAACTGGGGGAGGTCAACCCATCTCACCTCTCCCCCAAGACCAGCCCAACATCTTTAGCTGGTCAACATAGAGGTATAGTTGCTATTGTTATTTATAGGGATAGTCAACTCATTGCCGTTCAGGTCAAGTAGGGAGTGCTAAAGTGACAGGGAGTGAACATATTTAGATTTTGTTTTAGTTTTCTTTTAATAAATTAATTAGTTAATAATTTGCATTTTATTATGTCCATGTGTTTATGTGAACTTGTCCTGGTCACGTGGTCCACACGAGGCAGAGTTGGATTGGGCGCCGATTCTAACATCGAGTCGGAATTCATCATTCCCGTGTAATTAATTCCACACTCCAAGTTTCCAAGGTCATCGGTTACTAGTGGGGATCAAGCCCCAAGGTTGATTAATTAGCATGATCGATCCAGACCTCGATCATTGCTCTGTGTTACTGGTCTGGTGGTGGCGGCGGAGGCGACTCCAGGGTTTTGCTCAAAGCCTAGGTCACGTCATACGGGTTGTAGAATCCTAAGTCGGTCAATCGTCTTAGGACCACGTGGCGTGGAGTTGGCTTTAGTAAAAGTTTTGGAGTCCCTTGGTAGAGAATAAAAAGTAAGAATACGGGTAGAGGGAAAAGAAGAAGGAAAGATAAGTCGAGGAAACCCTCCCCGTGTTAAAAGGATTTGGGTTTTTTGGTAATCTAATAAGAGTGCTGGTAGCTCATTACTTAGTGAACATACTTGACCTGTGCCGGGTTTGTGTGGCTTTGGGGTAGTTAACTCGTCGCTAATTCTCCCTTACACGGAGGGTACTTCCTGTAGCTCTCCTCAGCATTTAGTGAGTATCCCTTTTATTTTGTCCTCTGTGGAGACAGGTTTAGGAGCCACCCAGGAAACCAGAATTGAATGTAATGAAAAGCCTCTTTCTGGTGGATTTTTGGAAGAACCTTGGATCCTTCCTTCCCAATTTAGGGGCTCTGGTTTTCCATCTTCCCAACTAAATGCATGGCATGTCAAGGATTAGAGATCGAGGAGGATGGTACACAATCCTCTGGTGGTGTGTAGGTGAACTGCTCATGGAATGCCCTTGCTGAACTGCAATATTAAGCCTTCCTAATAGATAGTGCATTAAAATTCATGTTCTGATACACTGTCACTATCAATGCTACCATTCAAATATCTATACATTTGGATTACTGTATCCAAGCATGGAGGCCTGATCTTCAGAATGACATATCTGATTTGGAGAAAGTTCAAGACCTGGCAAAAATAATCATCCCAGAACTAAGTCAACTCTCATACCAAGAACAGTTGAGGGCCACAAGACTAACAACACTGCAAACTACACATGACAGGGTTGATCTCATCGCAACTTAATACAGTACTGAATAATTTGGAAGATATTGGTCCAGACCATCTTCAAAAGTTTAATTGAACTGAGCAACAGTTTCAAGCTCAACAAGCCACAATGTAGGACAGAAAACAGGAGACATTTTTTAACCCATAGGGTTATGAATCCATGAAACTGCCAACATACCCAGGCATAAATGCCATAACACTGCCACATTTCAAAATCCAGCTGGATAAATTCATCGGGAAACTGGATGAACTTTTGACAAGCTGTCAGCTTCCAGTTCTCGTCAAGGCCATTAGAGAGATGGTGACCCTCGGGTAAATTTAAGTAATTGTTAGCTTCGCTCTTTCCCAATATGATTTATCCACTATGGACTCCACAAAGAAAAATATTTGTAGATTATGTACATATATAATTCTGTTGTAGAATAAATCCAATGAATGCAAATTAACAAGTGCTATAAATCAATTTAGAATGTATCTAATATAAGCATTAACTTCTAGAGCAAACACATGAGGATCCTCACCTGATACGAGCCATTCTCTAATAACTTGCCGCCTCTTATGGTAAAATGGCAATCTTGATGAGCCTTTCCAGGTCGCTCATAAAAATCACAATATATATAGCCTAGTACTCCTTCTGTGTTGTGCTTCACTGTTGAGAAACAATTCATAAATTTATTAATATTTAATATCTTTTTCACTGAGATAGAATTAGAGTGAATATGAAAAATTTGTTTATGTGCAATATATTCAGATGCACACAAGATTCTTTCTGGTCCTATTTGACAGGATCATGGTAATCAGGGTAGAATAAAATTCTGCACTAGTGTAACAGTGGTCTACAGCCTCAACTCACAATTTAGGATCCCAGGTTCTATTGACCTAGCAGTAAATAGGTACATGAGAATTAGGCAACAGACGTTGGGTTGCATCCTAGGAAAGGTCAATAGTTGACCTAAGGAAACCTTATTGCAATTCAAAGTACGGGCTTCCTGTCCTAAATTATGGGAATTAAAGAGTTGAACTAAAGCACAGAGCTCACCTCAGACAGTTCACTCAAACCCTCAACACTTCCATGGATACAACTCACCGACACTGCAGACTGTTCACAAAGAAGCTGCATTGGCATAAAGTCTGAAACCATAAAGTGCCACCAAAGGGCATGCAACTCATGCAATAAAAGGGGCTAACTGGAGGAAAGATAACCAAGCACAACACACTGGCAGTATAGGTGGGAGAGGTTTAACAGAAAAGCAGGTGATGAAGATATGATTAGACTGCCAGAAGTTCCATTTGAGGATGTCAAAACAAGTCAGCACCAAAAAAAATGCCTTAAGCATGGCAAATTTTAGCAGGTCATACAGCCAAGAATACACTTACAGCTGACAGTTTGACCAATATGTCATGTGAATTATGGAAGTGAAAGGTTAATTCTACTGTGATGCCAGGAAAAATTGATGTAAGGCAACAATTGGACAGTGGGTATGGACATACCAGGTTAAACTCAAAATATGTACCTTCTGGAGGGGCACTTTTTAATTTATGGCCACAAATCTGGGTTAATGATGTCTACAAATGAGTCTCTACATGACAGAGATCAAGCCAAGACTTGGAAGAAGTTCACACGGCTCACTAATCCAATTGCCTGTAGTCACCAAACAGAAATGGTGTCTTGAGAATGAGATTGTTGAAAGAAGGAGATACCAGGAACCTGTCTAGATAAAAAAAAAATACAGAATCCAGTTGAAAACCAGGTCTTCTCAATTGAAAAACTAAAAAGACAGATGTAGAAGGCCACACCAAGTTTCATGAGGGGGATAATTAAAGATATAGATGTCAAAAGGTGACCTCGACATATCTGGCGCCTCTTCACTGAGGTGAAGAAGCTTTACCAAAGAAGCAATTGTGTTTAGCAGAACCTTCCAATAAATAAAAATTCAAGTGAGGAAAGGCATCAGCAAAGGAACAATAACAGAAGCAGCCAAGTAGAGCAAAATATATGATTAAAGACCTTGCCTAACCCCACTGTACTTCCAGAGAAGAGTGCTGGCTAAAGAACATCACATGCTCCCCATTGAAATGGTAATAGATACTTTCTAGAAGCTTCACATACAAACATTATCAGTTAATTGAATTCAGATCTAAACCTGCCCTTATGACATGGGACCAGTTAGAAAGTATGTGAAGAGAATTGAGGCCAAGAACCCAACGTTGGTGCGAGTGCTACCACATGGTGGTGGTCAGGGAGAGCAGCCAGGTGGCCTTGAAAGTGCTTGCAGTGTTTATGAGGGAAAATCATGGGTGAACCTTTCAAGGCCACTCCAGATTGGTCTAGGCTGTTCTTCAGTGCCTAGTTGCACCGATATAGAATGTTTCTCCTTGACTTGCATGATCATGTCCAAGGAACCAGGAAGAATCTTGCCTTGGGTAACACATGAGTTGAATGGCCAAATGAGTAAATTGAATTGCCAAATGAGCTTATTAAAAAAATACAAGCCAAATAAAACTAACTTTTCCAAAAAAATATACAGTACTAAGAAAAATAATACAGGTATATGTAATCAATTATCTTCATAACAACTACACTAACTTCTTTCAAGGCTCTTCAACAAGAACCTACAATCACTATAATTAAAAAATATTTGCCAACAGCACATCTACATCTTTTGATCAATAATTTCAGACTTACTTCATATAGATCTTGTTCAATAAGCACAGTACATAAAAGAAAACCTGCCTGCAAGTTTATAAACATCACTTGTCCAGAGTTCTCCAGGCTGTGGCTCTTCCAGTTGTAGCGTCACATCATACAGACTTACAAGAAGTCCGTTCAGCCCCTCCATGACCGCTCCCAGAGAGAAATATGGCATCAGATCATTTGCACCAACTAAGAACTTGTTTTGTCTAACTTGGCCAGTGAAGTATGGAACATCCCAAGGAGCAAGATCCTGAAATATGGAAGATGAAAGGCATCAATACAGAATTCAACAATAATTAATGCATTGAATGACAAGACAGTGTGATATAATACAGTATATAGGTTTAGTAACTGGAATAGGTGAATGGGTAAATACATACAATGGTAAATGCATTGTCAACATGCATTTACCTGCATTTACCAACATGCATGTGCATGTTGCAACATGCAACATGCACATGAGGAGCTCTGAGTGACAATCAAACCAGTGCTCCATATCCTCTTCATCCAGATCAGGATACAGTTTCTTTGACAGTTACACAATGCTTTTTGTCATCTCCTTTACTCTGTTTTTTCCACACACCATGCATGTATGTCTTTAACTTTGTCCCATGATTCGCAGACTATGATAATTATCTGAATTGTCAATCTACAGTGGGGTTCCCCTTTCTTGCTGCTTAATTACAGTATCTCCATTTTCACCAACAATGTAATCTTCCTCAACTCCTTGGCAGCTAGCTTGTGTAACACTAATACCACTTCTTATTTATGTCAGCCATTATTCATGATATTACTAGCCAAAAAATAAAAAAAAAGTAATAAAATGTACTCAGAATGAATACCATTCTCACTTGATCTGAGAAAAAATATTTATGTCTAAGCAGTTTGGATAAGACACACTGGTCACAGACATGAAAGCACAGCTGTGACACCACTTATACTGTATGGGCAAGTGGCCACATAATAGTACCTGTTATGTTGACACCTGTTAGTACTGCAAACATGGGGTTGGACATGAAGATAAATGAATACTGATCGCGTGTTCGCATATAATGTATAGATGTTTGCAGCTTGGAGATTTGAAACCCAGGGACCCACTGTATATCTAATAGGGGGTGCAGGCACATGATTCTGTTTTGATAGCGAGCAGTCTCCTCAGTAGCAGACCGAGTTACGTCTCCACAGCTTTGCCTAGAAGTTGGGGAGGGAATACAAAAGAAAGTTTCTTGTCACTGTAGGAAACGGTGAAACCTAAGCATGGCTCATGCACCGACTGTGAAGGACTTGTTTAGAAAGACCATGTGTAAGGTTATGACACCTTAGGCTAGTTGGGAAATAGATGTATCTAGAATATGAAAATATTTTAAGCTTCTAATGGATATGACAGTGACAATTTTGGATTTTAATTGTTCAACTGTATTACTCCATATATATTACAAATGACTACACTACAACATCAAACATGTCTAGTAATAATATCTGAAATACTGTATTTCAAACTGATTTAACAACTCTGCAGTTTGCTATGCAACCTTACCCTTGAACTGCTGTATTGGGCTTTTTTCACAGCATTCATTTCAGCAAAATCTTCCTGTGCTCGGGGCCTTACTTTGTCAGCAAGATGCTTCAAAAAATCTATCACAAGTTCAGGGGTCTCTGCTAAACTGCCATTTACAGCTCTGAAAAAATATCACAACGTAAAATTATCTTCACATAGTGCAGTTTGTTTCAACACAATTCATAGTTCACATGTATATTACTGCAGAGTATTTACCAACCTGTGTGCATACGAGGGAAATCCACATATAGTTGCCATCTCATGTCTTCCGTTTATCATCTCCATGAGCAGAACCTCCTGATGAGGGTCTGGATGCAGGAATATCTTGTACGCAGCTTCGCGAGTAATCTCCGTATGAGCATCTGCATGCAAGCCTGTTACTACAACGTTGTCCCCATCGATGGTAAAACTGTCAAAATTTGTTAAGTTGAGAACCTATTTTCAATTGAATTCTCAACTGAATGAGATACTTTAACAAAACTCAAAATAAATAAGACCTAAAGACACTGGTCGTTCTGACCAACCTAAATAATTACTAAAACATACATTTGTGTAATTCACGTTAAGCGTAGGATCTGTCAGAAAAGTGAAGTGGCTCGAGTAATTTAAGCCTTGGAATGGTGTGCTATGAATGAAACAAATCAAGAGTTAGAGAAGTAGAAATGGACAATATAAGAAGCATGTGTGGAGTTAGAGGAATAGTGTTAGGGATGAAAATGTCATGGAGATATGTATAGTCCAAAAATCAATAACCCACAAGACTGAAGAGAGCATGCAAAGAATTTGAGGATAAGAAGAAATGAGTGTGTGAGGAACCAGGGACCAAGTGTGGACAAAGTGTGGCATAGTGTAAGGAACAAGGCTGGGTGCAAGCAGTTTACAGGAGAGTAAACGTATGTAAGTAATAAGCGAGTATCGGCCTCACGTGCATGGGGTCCATAGTTTGAAACCCATACAGCCCAGGTGAATGGAATATGTAAGTAATGTGTTTGACAATTCACGAGAAGCAAAGAATGTTTGATCTTACAAAGAAGTGCAGTGCTGTTGTGGATGACTGCTGGAATGTGGTAGTACCTGTTAATTCAGGTACTATGCTATTTATTGTACTGTAGTATGAATGATATATATAATGAATGGATGGGTGATATTTTTAATGTTTTATTATTTGATATCTACAACCTTGTTTTACTATATTACATGTGCTCACCTCTTTTCATGGACAATGTAGCTGCCCTGCCCCACATAAGTGGGTACCGAAGTAATGATAATAATGATGGGCTTCTACTTTTCCTACTATTTCTGTTACTACTGTACAACAAACAATGACTACAATAATACTTAACTTAATCTCCACAAACAAATATTTGTTTTGATAACAAGTACAGTAATTGCAAGATGAACAAATGTGGATGCTGGCCAATGAAACAAATGAGAAAAGACAACCATGGATGCAAACTAACAATCTATTACAAGTTTAGGATTTAAAGGCAATTAAGATACAATACACCATTTATGAGACAAGAATATACAGTACTGTAGTATATGCACCATTACCAATATTAATTTCATCCCTCCACACATTGAATTTGCCATCAAAACTTACTGTTGCCTAATACTCTCTGGGAGTTTAACCTTGGGAATAGCTCTGGGTTGAAGAGAACCATTCATAAAGTGTTGACCAAGTGTGAGTATTGATTCATTAAGACTCACAACTCGTTGACGTTGGTCCTCATCCAAATGGATGCCTGCAAGATCATGATAATACATTTAATTAGGCAAAATATACTTTGCAGTTTAGCATTTATAGATCAAACATGGCATGAAATAAAAAATGATTGGGAGCTTGAGCATTTTCCCTTATCTGTTTAAAGGAAGACTAATTAATATCTTACATATATGTTACAAATAATGTTTATATTGTACGGCTAGACTAGCAAAGAAGAGCTTACCTGACTGTTCAAAATCAAAGAGGAAGAGTCTTGCCACATGTTTATCAACTTCTGTAGTGGGGACCTTGTCCCCATGCTGAACAACTTCTCGTAAGGAATCATATAATTTTCTGTGTGTGTTTAACCTGAAAATTATGTATACATAAGTAAGCACTCACAAATGCACCAGAATAATCAGGAAACATTTTGATCAAAGCCAATGCAAACAATATTATGCATAATCTTACTTGGTAGTTCCCACAAAATTATATTTTTTGCCTCATTTTGCTGTATATCACTGTAAGAGAACCAAGCCCTTTAGCTACACTTAGAGCTTTATTAGTATATTTTGGTAGCAGTCTTTCTTGTAAACATGTGTTATTGAATATGACAAGACAGGGTGAGATCAATGATACTGTATTAGCAAAAATCTTCTCTGTATTTCTTATGTTCTCCACTTGAGAAGTTGAAAAATTAACTCTCCAAAATTCATTTTACAGTTTTATTATGACCTGATGCTAAGAGATGCATTTGTTGACCCTGTCAACATTTTCAAAGGCAGAGTAGAAGTGGATACAATTTAGTTAGAGCAACCGAATATATAGCAGAGAGTGAGGATGTTGCATGAAATAACTGACAGGTATGACAATAAAAGGTTAGACATCAAACAAACTCGGCCAACTATGAACAGCCAATTAACACTCGGCTATATTCTATCCTCTTCTAGACCAAGCCAGAACATCCACCATACTTCCCCAGACATCACTGGAATATAAGTAATGTCGTACGGCCTATTGGCCCATTCGACACACTTCACCTTACTCTTGGCTATATATTTTGGTGCTCCAGCTAAATTGTATTCACTTCTATTCTGTCTTTAAAAAATTCATGCTAGAATAATTGATTTTATCCTTTTCATCTTATTCAATACCATTTGAGCTTTATTCTAAACAAATAAATCAATAATATGTACATCCTTATTTACTACATATCCACAATTATTTTGAAAACAAGACAGGTATTTTTTTCAGGGGAGGGAAAGGGAGGGAACATTTCAGGTGCCTCTCAGAAAGGGGCATTTCATTACACTAAACACTCAAAACTAAGTCACTGCATAAAAGACAGTGACATAAAACCAGCGGTGAATGTAATGAAACGCCATTTTCTGGGTGAGTCCCTGAGGCTCCCCGGAGCTATCCCAGGCTGATATGCTAATGTCAGACTTTGGCATCAGTCATGTGTATGGAGTTCTTAGGCCTACCGGGGACCACGGCCAGAACCGGAACAGGCACCCAGAAAGGTAAGCGCCCCAAAACAAACCCCTATTCTGGTTAAAATTGCTACCAAAAGCCGAACTAGTGGATAGAACTCCCCAAAAGAAAACAAGCAAACTAGTGTGACGTCACACGCCGCCGCGCCGCTGTCTGCGCAGCTCCCCTCCTCCCTGGGAGGGGGAAGGGGGAACCCCAGACCCTCCACGCCGGCTACCCACACCTTAGTTCTTGAGGCTGGATGTCAAAAACGCGAAAAAAAACGCCGACCGGAGGGAGGGAGGGATGCCAGGGCGCCTCCGGGACTCACCCAGAAAATGGCGTTTCATTACATTCAACGCTGGTTTTCTGGGAGGAGCCCCGTCGGCTCCCCGGAGCTAACTACCCACAGAGGAAGATCAAAGGGACGGAACCGGGAGGCGGATACCACGCACCCCCCACGGAAGCGAGACAACCGGCAGCAAATGCCAACCCAAGGCGCCACAGCCCCGAGAGGGCCCGGGAACAACACGAGACAACGAGCAGCAAGTCCCCAGTACGAACACCAAAGATCCGTGCCCGAATGACAGCAAGGACACGTCGCTCAGACGGCAGCGAGAGCAGCGAAGCCACGAACGCCACGGTCATGGAGGAAGAACACAGGCAGGTTAGCCGCAAGAACACGGCTGACAACCCGGGACACCGTCACCCGCGAACCAGGAAGAACAGAAGCAGATCAACGCAAAACGCGCCCCGGACACAGATGCCGTGGCACGCAAATAACAGCGGAGGGCCGCCACGGAACACAAAACACGACACATCCCCGGCCCGACCAACCAAGCACCAACAAACCAAGGACCCCTCCAGAACGCAGCAGCCCCATCCCGTGCCAGAAAAGATGGAAACTGCTGCCACCGAACAACTAAAACGCTAAAACCGAAGGAGCAGAAAAACCCCTGCGAAGGAGCAACAAAACCAGCGACCCGACCCCCAGAGGCAAAAACCAACAGAAAAAAGAGCCAACGAAAATACAAATCGGAACCGAAGGGGCACTACCAACCGAGGAGAAGACAGAGCACGCTGACCCGAGACCAGGACGGTGCAAGCGGCGCACGAACAGGCCGGAGGTGAAACAACACACGAGACAGCTTACTAACGGTGCAGAAGCAACACCTAGACTGAAAGCAAGCCGAAGCGGCTCCGCCAGCGCCGCACGAAAAGAGGCGACAGTATGTGGCAAGACGACGGGCCCCCAACCTCCACCAGAAAAACCAAGCTGATGCTAACAACTGCAGCCACCTAAGAAGGGACAGGAGGAAAAGGAAGGACCGCCAAAATACCCCATACTGCCGCCAATAAGAAGTACGCAGGTGGGACACCTACCACGAAGCCACCCAATCACCAACTGGAGGCGAGACCGCGAGGCAGAACGTAAGCAGCCCCAACAAGGCCCCTCCGAGCCCAGGAAAAGGCGGAGCCACGGGAAGATCTCGGGCACGACCACCGAAAACCCAGGCGGCACAAGGAGATGGAACGTTTGCCGAACAGAAAAACTCCCTAAAGCAAGCAAGCATGCCGGGAGTTCAGAAACAATGGGTCCAATGCGAGACATCGCAAGACCCCGAAAAGCCAACCGGCAGGGTAAGCCAGGAAAACCAAAGAAGGCGGAAGGGTTGCCTCCAGAAACAGTACCTGAACCAAAGGGTACGAGCAACTGCAACAGACCGAGACAAATAAGCGCACCACAGGACACAGGCGGAAAGAACCCCCAAGAAGCCAAGGAACGCACGCAGAACACCCCTGCGGCGAGGAGGAAACAAGGGAGCGCACAAGGAAAGGAAGCAGTAGAAACCGACCACCCCCCTCAGCAGCAAGTGCAGGCAAAACCGACCAAAGGAGATGCCAGGAAAACGATTGGGGAGAGGCAGGACGAAAGAACTGAAGCACAAACCCCAGGAAACAACCAGGGGTGGACAATCAGGCAGGGACAGAAAACCCACGCACATGGGAGGGCCAAGCCAGGGACCCGAAGACCACGAAAAAAACAAGCAAACCCCCACACGCAAACCCTAGGCACAAAACAACAGCAAAGTGCCACACCACAACCAGACACAGGAACAAGGACACACCACCGCGAAACACGTAACCAATGCACACGTGCAGCAGCAACAGGCACCACCGCAACATGCAATATGTAAATAGCAACTCGCTTCTGCAAAGGCAAAGAACGGAGCAGGCAGACCCCAGACAGGGCCATTGGAGACACGACAGAACCCAGCAAGCCCAGGAACCTGCACACCAGGCGACCGATGGTGGAGAAAGCCGCACGATACCCGCTGGATGGGGTTCTGGGAGTTCATTTACACCCCAAGTCCTCGGACGTACCGGCAATATGGCGTATGTTCGCAGGTAGGTCGTGTAACAACTGCAGACCTCTGATGGTTATACAGTGTTCCCTGATTGTGCCTATAGCACCACTGCACTCCACTGGTACTATCCCGCAAGTTCTTCCATATAGGCGGGACCCAAGAGCCAGAGCTCAAACCAGGCAAGCACAACCAGGAGGGCCCTACCAGGTGAGTACATAACCAGCACCACAACCCACACACCGCATAACATGAAAGATGTGGGTCCCCTGAATGACTAGCATGGGTTGGACATGCACATGAGTGGGACAGGAAGGGTTGAAAAAGGGACAGTCACTGGTATGCGAACAGTCTCAGTCGTACAGAAATATACCTAAATAAAGACAGGTATATAAACATCTCCGCATCCAGCACCCCGGCCAAAAGACGCCAGACCGCAGACACTCACCTGTCGAACGGAGGCACGAACGAGACACGATCCAACAGTGCCCAGGAGATCCTGGGTGCACCGCCAGGTGAAAAAGCCAGAGCCGGATATGCAGGAGAGCAGGGTAGAGGTGAAGGAGGCGGCCCACACCCATGACACAGGGAAAACCTCGGCGTCCTCCATACAGCTGGAAACTAGGACACCCCCGGAGCAAGGGAGAAGAGCGAGAGGCGAAGCACCTGAGAAAAAAGGGCGCAAAACACCAGCACAAACACACCGCCCAGACCAAAACAAACTCCACGGCGCATGCGCACGACACGCTGGCCGAACCGCACTACCCGCTCTGCGGGAAGGCGCCAACCAGGACTACTGCACTAGAAAAGTAGCTAAAAGAGGAAGCAGGAAAAACAAAACCGGCCAACGAAGCGAAGACAGAGCCCAAAAGGGAACCCAACCGGGCCACGAGCAGCCCAACTGGGCCACAAGTAGCCCAACTGGGCGACAAGTAGCCCAACCGGGCCACAAGCAGCCCAAAACGGCTATCCAGACGAGGAGCCGACAGACATTCCAATAATACGGGAAGTAGCGAAAACCTTCCCGAACCCTCGAGAACACAGAAGCCAACACCAGTCCCGAAGGCACAGGCGCACCTGAGACCAGAAGTCACGTAGAACCCCAAGAACGGGGAAACATGATGAAGACACCGTCCCAAAAAGTGGGAGGAGCATCCACCCATAAGACGGAACCAACCGACTCAAAGGCCAAGGAACCGAGCCCGGGGAGGGGGCCGACGCCCAACAACACGTACGGCGAGTGGGGAGGAAAACCCCACTCCGCTTAACCACAAGCCCCACCTAGAGGGGGAGAAAAACCCCCATGGGGTCCTACGGGGCCAAGGCCCCCCACAAGTCAACCCCTCCCCAGCCCCGGGAACCTACACGACAGGCCCTGGGGCCGAGCCATCCCCCCAAAGCCCCGGCCGTACCAGGAAACCGGGGCAGCAGCGGAAACACTAAGGAAGGGAGCCCACTGGCAGACTCTTACAACATGGCTGGAGGAACAGGCTCAAATGCCCCCGTCACTACCCCGGAAGGGGAATTCCCCGAGACTGCCCGAGTCTCAAAACCACCAAACCCCACCCCGAACCCACAGACGGTAAGGAACCGGATGCAGGCAGGAAGGGGGGGGGGGCGTGGAAGGAACCGAAGCAACCAACACCCCCAAATCCCAACACAAACCAAAACGGGGCAGCCTTGGGGCTCCCGGGAAGCAAACAGACGAGAGCGTTGCCACCACCAAGGCTCAAAGTGCAACGCCCCTGCTGCTCGCACCCGCTTAGTCAGCACAACTGGGTAACCGAGCCACAACGAGCAACAAAACTCGCAGGACTCCGGGTCGAAGGAGTCACCAACCCCACAGGCAGCAGACGGAGGCAAAACAGAGAGTCACCCAGAGACAAGGGGTGAGAGCTACCCTCAAACTCGCTGGAAGAGAGGGGGGACTCTGGGGTTACATCCATCGGACCCGTGCGCCCCCAGGGGTTTCCCAGGGTCCCGAGCGTTTACTATAAAAGGACTCGCTCTCAGGTAATCCCAGGCAGGGTACTGCTAACCGGCGCCCAAAGCTATTAAACAACTTTCTAAGAGCTGAACCCCCGAGACGTGTACACTCACGGGGACCTAGCAGGAGGTACCACCAGAAAAATACTCAGAACACAAGGGACACAAGGGGCAAGAACGAAGGCAGACCCCCACCAGGTAGATAAACAAAAAGAAAAAAAAAAAAACGCAAGAGGACAGCGTACCCAAGCGGAACAGAGCCAGCCGCCATGATTGGTAAAGACAATGTGCACAGTACCCTGTGCCCCACCAGTGCAAAACTGCCCCTTACCTTAAGGCGAACAAGGGAGATAGAACACCCGAGCACACAAAGAGCGGCCGAAAACCAAGCAGTAAACGGCCTAGCAGGGGCAGGACCCAAGGAACTTGTGGAAGGTGGCCCCAAGCCCCAAGGGCAGTACATACAGGGCACCTAGGGAAGGGAACCCTAGGCGCATGCAGCCCGAGTACTAGAGACTCACACCCGGCTCACACACCACCTAGAAGACAGACACCACACTCTAGGTACAGTGCTGAAACAACTACTGGAGCCGGAGCACACAACCGGTGCCTATAGCATCAGCCGAAGAACTGATGGGTGGATAGCCGGTGTGGGAGGTCTGGGGCTCCCCTTTCCCCCTCCCGGGGAGGGGAGAGCTGCGCAGACAGCGGCATGGTGACGTGTGACGTCATACTAGTTTGCTTGTTTTCTGTTGGAGAGTTCTATCCACTAGTTCGGCTTTAGGTAGCAATTTTAACCAGAATAGGGGTTTGTTTTGGAATGCTTACCTTTCTGGATGCTTGACCCAGTCGATGGCAGACATAGAATGCTTCCAACCACACGGGGGCTTCTATAGGCCATTGCTCCCCTTGCCTCTCTGAGGGGGCCAGGTTCTGGCCGTGGTCCCCGATAGGCCCTAGAACTCCATACACATGACTGATGCCAAAGTCTGACATTAGCATATCAGCCTGGTAAAGCTCCGGGGAGCCGATGGGGCTCCCCCAGAAAAAAAAAACAGCATTGAAAGTAATGAAATGCCGTTTTTTTGGGTGAGCCTCAGAGGCTCCCTGGAGCTATCAAACTGATATACTGTACGCTATATTAGTCTGGAGCAACAGTCAATGGAGGGGACCACAAGCCAGAACCTGGCCATTGCTCCCCCAAAGGAAGCAATGGCCTATTGAAACCCCCATGTATTTAGGAGCATTCCATATCTACCTTCGACCAGGGTTAGGTACCCAGAAAGGTAGGCATAACAAAACAGACCCCACTTGGTAAGAAATTGCAACCTAAGACCGAACAGAGAGGCAGAATTTTCCCAAACCTAAAGAAACAAGCAAACATCATACACTGTCGCCGTGCAGCTTGTCCGCGCACCACTCCATTATTCTGAGCAATTATTAAATACTGTAGACATAAGGTGATGTCGAAGCAAGAAGATTGAAATCACAAAGGTCGATTTTAGGCATTAAAAAGCAACATATTATTAAATGGAAATTCTATTTCCTTATAGCACTATTTTAATTAAGAGATAAAGTAAAGCAATTACATTAAAATTAATGAAGTTCTGTGGGATACAAATATAATTAATCGCAAAAATTTTGGTATTTTGAAATGTTTTGTTAATTGTTTGTACATACATGTAATTATAATATAACTGAAACAAAAGTAGAAAACAAAACGACAAAAGTCTGCTTACTGTTCAACAAGACCACCAATGGCCACACATACGTCCTCAGCAGAAAATGAATAACGTGCTTGAGGATGTGCCATACGAATAAACTCTGCCAGGTCAGCCACACGACAAAGAGCATCTGACAAGTGATCGAACACCTAATAAAAGAAGACAATAAATTAAATAGATTCTCACAGATTTTGGGGAAATCAAAGAAGTGACAACATTTATGAATAAAGTTTCTTGCATGATTAGCTGAATAAAACAAAATCATATGAAACCAACTATATTTAATTTGTACTGTACAGCTAAACTGTAGTCTAATAACTAGTACTGTATATTATTATTTGTCTTTTTGTTTTTATTTGTGCTAAATAACCACTAAAATATGATTATTTGATTTGATTTCAATCCAAAATGATTATTATGAAGGAGGGAAAGAACTTCAACTCTTCAAAATAAAAATATATTCTGCCATTCACTCACCTCAACCATCTTACGTGACCTGTTAGGCGAGCAGCACTCTGCTACTAAATTCTCTGCCTCGCGGATAGCATTCTCTTTTAGTAAATAAAATCCATCTGGTTCTTGGAGTTCAGATAAGCCAAACAATCCCTGGAATTATATAAATTTACCCCAATTTAGAGGTACAATATCTACAAGCCAAGATTTATGATCTATAATGCGTAATCGCTGAAGCCATAAATGCCAACACTGCTGCAATTCAAAATTCAGCTTGATAAAATCATCAGGATAAAGGAGGGGACCTTAGACAAGCTGCCCGTTTCCTGTCGTCGATGAGGCCACCAGAGATAGTGGCCCTCGGGTAAATTCAGGTAATATTATTCTTTGTTTAACCCTTCACTTTTAACCATCCCCAAAACCCTCTTCGCTTGGGCAATTTTATACTCAAAGCTCATTATCATGAAAAACAAGTCACATGTTGTTGTTTTAGATTTAGCTACTCAGAACGAAATGTCAATGTAGCATGGGCTATAGTGAGCCCGTAATTGAATTCGGTTATTCGCAATAACCTTGTTACTGTGTGTCACAAGAATCTCCCTAGAGAAGAAGATTGAGCCTATTCCTTCATCACCTGTTCAACCACAACACGTCTGCATGTTCAAGAATAGAGAATTAACAACAATAACAACAGCTATAACATCTAGACACGATTCCACCACTCTACACTCTAGTCACCCTACCTCCCCAGGACACCTGGCGTCTGCAGAGGCCCGCGCCACTCTGGTCAACAAGCACCTTGATAGTTTGTGTCTGCTGGCTTCCAATTATCGTTACATCAGCACCATCTGCACGGTCAAGCTCCCGTATATATAGAAGCCAGCCAGCCACCATCAGCAGAATACTCTCAGTGCTCATACCTGTTGAACCTGCTTCCACATTACCCTGTGTGGTGGTAGATTTTAACAGTTTGAGTGACAGTGTGGTGGTGGTTCCAAATGCCTTAACACATGCAGTGCACACCTGGTTTCGGCAAAAACTTCTTAGTGCAATTGTCAAGGACATATTTTTTTGTTTTTATAAATATTCAGGTAAAGTTAATGTCAAAATGTCTCCAAACTCAACTACAGTATTTCCATTTGAAAACACAAACAGTAATGAAAACATTAAAAACATTAAAATATAACCTAATTAAAAAAATAGCACAACTCTTAGAGCACCTTCAGGAGCAGACTTCAGGAGAGGACATTATGGTGACCTTAGAAATTTTTTTAGTGAGTATAAATGGACAGACTTGATGCTAGGCAAGGAAGTGAATGAGATGTATGTCAAGTTTTGTGAAATATATGATAAAGGCACAAAAAAATTTATACCAAAACAGAGATGCAGAACTAGGAAACAGGATTGGTTCAATAGAAATTGCGAGAGGGCTAGAGACCAAAAGACACAAAAATGGAATCAATACAGGAAGAGGCCGAACCCCCAAACATACCAGCGATACAAAGATGCGAGAAACAACTACACGGCAGTGAGGAGAGAGGCAGAAAGAAATTTTGAAAAAGGGATTGCAGACAAATGTAAAACAGAACCAGGTCTATTCTATAAATTCATAAACAACAAATTGCAGGTAAAGGATAATATTCAGAGGAAACACTAAACGAAAAGTTCCAAAGTGTGTTTGTACAAAATGAAATCTTTAGGGAACCAGATACAATAAGAATTCCAGAGAACAACATAGAGCACATAGAGGTGTCTAGAGACGAAGTGGAAAAAATGTTCAAGGAGCTCGGTAAGAACAAAGCAGCTGGCCCAGATGGCGTTTTACCATGGGTTCTGAGTGAATGTGCATCTGAGCTCAGCATTCCACTTCACCTGATCTTTCAGGCATCCCTGTGTACAGGAATCGTAGCAGACGTGTGGAAACAGGCTAACATAGTTCCAATCTACAAAAGTGGTAGCAGGGAAGACCCCCTCAATTATAGACCTGTATCATTGACAAGTGTAATAGTGAAAGTATTGGAAAAACTAATCAAAACTAAATGGGTAGAACACCTAGAGAGAAATGATATAATATCAGACAGACAGTATGGTTTTCGATCTGGAAGATCCTGTGTATCGAATTTACTCAGTTTCTATGATCGAGCCACAGAGATATTACAGGAAAGAGATGGTTGGGTTGACTGCATCTATCTGGACCTAAAAAAGGCTTTCGACAGAGTTCCACATAAGAGGTTGTTCTGGACACTGGAAAATATTGAAGGGGTGACAGGTAAGCTTCTATCATGGATGAAAAATTTTCTGACTGATAGAAAAATGAGGGCAGTAATCAGAGGCAATGTATCGGAATGGAGAAATGTCACAAGTGGAGTACCACAGGGTTCAGTTCTTGCACCAGTGATGTATATTGTGTACATAAATGATCTACCAGTTGGTATACAGAATTATATGAACATGTTTGCTGAAGATGCTAAGATAATAGGAAGGATAAGAAATTTAGATGATTGTCATGCCCTTCAAGAAGACCTGGACAAAATAAGTAGATGGAGCACCACTTGGCAAATGGAATTTAATGTTAATAAATGTCATGTTATGGAATGTGGAATAGCAGAACATAGACCCCACACAACCTATATATTATGTGAGAAATCTTTAAAGAATTCTGATAAAGAAAGAGATCTAGGGGTGGTTCTAGATAGAAAACTATCACCTGAGGACCACATAAAGAATATTGTGCAAGGAGCCTATGCTATGCTTTCTAACTTCAGAATTACATTTAAATACATGGATGGCGATATATTAAAGAAATTGTTCATGACTTTTGTTAGGCCAAAGCTAGAATATGCAGCTGTTGTGTGGTGCCCATATCTTAAGAAGCACATCAACAAACTGGAAAAGGTGTAAAGACATGCTACTAAGTGGCTCCCAGAACTGAAGGGTAAGAGCTACGAGGAGAGGTTAGAAGCATTAAACATGCCAAAACTAGAAGACAGAAGAAAAAGAGGTGATATGATCACTACATACAAAATAGTAACAGGAATTGACAAAATCGACAGGGAAGATTTCCTGAGACCTGGCACTTCAAGAACAAGAGGTCATAGATTTAAACTAGCTAAACACAGATGCCGAAGAAATATAAGAAAATTCACCTTCGCAAATAGAGTGGTAGACGGTTGGAACAAGTTAAGTGAGAAAGTGGTGGAGGCCAAGACCGTCAGTAGTTTCAAAGCGTTATATGACAAAGAGTGCTGGGAAGACGGGACACCACGAGCGTAGCTCTCATCCTGTAACTACACTTAGGTAATTACTTAGGTAATTACCTAAAGGTGCTTTGCACAGTGCAATGGTTAAACAAGTCTGATGCCTTAACAGAACATTACTGAAGCATTATATCTGGAGTAATAGTTAAAAATCAATATTCCACTTACCTGAATATTATTCAATTCAGTAGTTGTCTCTTCTGAATACTGTACAAAAGTTTCTCTTGCTAACCTGAATACAAGTTATAGAAATATTATTAATAATAAATACACCTGAATTTACTTGAATTTACCTAAGGAACACTAACACTAGTGGCCTCAACGAGGACAGAAAACCAGCCACTTATCAAAGGTTCCCAGCAATTTGTTCTGATTATTTGTTCTAGCTGGATTTTAAAATTCAACAGAGTTTTGGCATTTATGGCTTCTGCAGGTAGGCAGTTCCATGGGTTTATAAGCCTGTGGGTGAAAAAGTAAAGACAGTAGAAAAGTAAAGACAACAAGCACTCCTTACAAAGAAATAAACTGGAATTAAATCTCGCCAATTGAGCTAAATTTTCTGCTGCACAAATTTTTTTAGTTTTTAATTTTTCTTTACATGAGACCCTTAATTTGTGCAGGAGTTACAGTTTTGTACACACCATTCATATCAAAACACATGCAAATCATATTTGAATATACTGTATATGAGAAAAATGTGTTGAGGCAAGAGACATTTCTTTCTGGCTGGTCGTCCAGTAGCTATTCTTGCTTATGGCACTGGCACAGTAGAGGTTTTGTAACAATCTTCTACTAACCAGAAGCAAATACGTACTGTACCACTTCATGCTGACCTTTTCCCTCAATAAGGTGAGGAGCGAGTGATAATCAACTCGCTACCGAAGCAAAAAGCTGTTAAAGAGTCATAAAACATCTGAAAAACTTCATGTAAAAATTGTCTGGTGATTCTAAACCTACCAATGATACTCTACAAATAAGCAGTCATAATACATACTCTAAACTCCCCCACCAGCTTATTTAGGGAGCCGGTGGCTAAGCGGACAGAACACTGGAAGCGTGATCCTGTGGTCCCGGGTTCGATCCCGGGCGCCGGTGAGAAACGATGGGCAGAGTTTCTTTCACCCTGATGCCCCTGTTGCCTAGCAGTAAAGCAGTAAATAGGTACCTGGGAGTTAGTCAGCTGTCATGGGCTGCTTCCTGGGGGTGGAGGTCTGGTCAAGGACTGGGCCGCGGGGACACTAAAGCCCCGAAATCATCTCAAGATAATCCATTACTATGTGGCAGCTCAATCTGATAATGGGTAGGAGAGCTGGCTATCCAGTGCCTAAAGCCACAGGATAACCAGCCACCTCACCATTGAGCCACTACACACAAAAAAGTAAAAACTGATAAGAGTAGAACCTGAGAGCTACTGAGGTGCAGCCAAGAAAAAGAGACATTTCCTTACATTTAATGTTTATTTCTAAAGAGACCCTCACCCCCTCCAAGTGATTTCTCTTGCTTAATCCCATGGAACCTCACAAGACCACCAAACCTAGGGCAGGATGATGGTCAGGTCCAGGGGCATGGCCTATGACTGACCCTGTCCTTTGGAGGGAGTGGGAAGTACCGGAACAAATGTGGACATCTTCAAGAGAAAAGTAGATAGTTTTCTTCAAGAAGTGCTGGACCAACCAGGCTGTGGTGGATATGTAGGCCGTTGGGCTGCTCCAAGCAACAGCCTGTTGGACCAAGCTCTCAAGTCAAGCCTGGCCCTGGGCCGGGATTGGGGAATAGAAGAACTCCTAAAACCCCATCTAGGTACAATCCAGGTACAGACCCCAACAATAACATCAGGTGAAGCAGTTGGAATGATGCATCTAATTAAGATAACACTCAAGCAACCTCTTGATCAGGAAAAAAAGAATGTTTAATATAAAGGTATCCCACAACATGGACAATCTTCATGAGGACTCCTGGAACTGCTCCAAAATGGCAAGCCAATAAGCACAATGACCAATACAGTATAGCTAACACTATATTCTATAGAAGCAAGCAAGGCAATGTTAGCAAAGCATTAGCAGCTGCTATGAACAAAAAGGCATGTGCAAAAACAATCAGAGCCTCCAGCTCAAATTGCAACTGTGCCATAACCAACTCCTGGGATGCCAGAAGTTATACCTTTGAGATCAACCAAGTTTAATGTTGAAGCAATCTAGAAACCTTGATGTGGAGCTGCCAAGAGCCCACATCACAGATCAAAGGCAGGCACAAACATCGCTCTGTTGATTGAAACAAGAAAGGACTTGGAAAAAAACACTGAAACATGGGCAAAATATTCTTCCATTATAGAGATTATGGCCAGCAATAACATATATTACTGCAAATGCAAAATAAAATGATTTGTACCAAATACAGTAACAAATTGTATTGATAGCCTACATGTACATTTGTGCATTCTTACTAAAGCATCATTAGCTATTTAGCACACATCATAAAGTGAATACCATAATAATAATAAAAAGTGCCAAAAATCAAGCATTGAATGTAATGAACTGTCTCTTTCTGGTGGGTCTCTCAGTGGACCCTCAAGCTACCCACCTGGTAATTTCCAAATTTTGGGTACTCCACCTGGCTCATGACTCACGAGTGCTTACTGAAAAATAGGACCAAAATCGGACATTCTCAATAGAGGCAAGGGAACTCAGGGGTTATAAGATTCTACAGAGCTGAAGGAAACAAACCAAAAAGGTAGATGACCACCAAAACAAGCAACCGGGTAGACATTTGTATCCCAGATGTGAACTATGCACACTAGGTATATTTACTTAAATCTTTGAATATGTTAGATATTAAGTCACTGCACATCCTCTCAACTGTTCTCTATATATTTAAAACTCTGAACTGTAATGCCAATCCTGACCTTAAACGCTTCCTAGAAGGTTGTAACAGAACCCATGGGCACCACACCAGAAACAAATACCTATTTGATATTCCAAGAGTGCGACTTAACCAAACTAGAAATGCTCTGCAAATTAGGGGACCAAGAATGTGGAATGACCTTCCCAATCATTTCAAAGGCTGTACCTCTCTCAACCAGTTAAAGAGAACAAATAAGTACTACCTAATAAACATGATGTAATCTACCTTACCCCCCCCCCCTAAATGTCAACCCATGTCTTACTGTTTTCAAACACTGTTGACCAACTTGTATAACTGCTGTTTTCTGCCATATATATATTTTCCCCTCCCTATTTTTCAACTCAATGTATGCTTTGATCTCAATTAGCATTAAATTCTAGTGTAAGTGTTTTTCCCACACATGGCCCGAAACGCATTGCATAATAGTGACTTTAGGCATTGTATGTACTAACTCTATCCAGAAGTCCAACAATATGTTTGTATCTCACCTTGTATGCATGTACTTTACCTGAATAAACATTTGATTTGACTTGTTGTCTAGGTCCAACTACTAGTTAGCTTAACACTCTTTCCACCAGAAGGCAGCCCATGTGACTCCATGTCCTAGCAAACAATTCCAGTCATGCAGCCATCATTACCAATTTCTCTCTCTCTCAACAGACAAGGTTTTATATAACACCAGCGACTGAAGCATTTAACTTATGCCTCAGTACTGGAATCATATACCGTTAATTATACAGTACCTCTCTTGGTTTGTGTGATCACTTCCATTATTCATAGTAATAAATTACTGAATAAGGCACCGAATATAACTCACAGATGTGCTCTTGGAGAAGTGAAGACTCAGCAACTTATTTGGCTTGGTGTTGAAGGCAGCGGCCAGAGGTGACCAGGTGTGCACCCCACAGGTGTTCAGCCTTCCAACACCTGACGCTCCTGACCATAATGTGCATCTTTTCACCGGCCTCTTCCTCAAATGGCCCCAAATGGATTTAGTTCTCCTTAGATATAACATTACTAAGAAGATACATTTACTACAATCGCCGACGAATTACGTAGCCGCTATATTCTACAACACCGGCCTCTTCTTCCTCGCTTATGTTACTAGTGAAGTGTTTACGTTTTCTATGTTGTTGTTGTGTTGATTTAGGGGCGACGACGATCGTGAGATCGGATGCGCCCCGGCTGCCCGATACCGGGAAATAGCGGAGGGATGGGGTCCCTATAGTCTCTCCAGGCCATAGACCCTACAATCTCCTCAGGCCACAAATTTTACAGTCTCTTCAGGCCACGGACATGACGGATGAAGCGGAAGGTATGGCGAAGGATGTCATGACGAACGTCTTCATCTCTCGCACCTGCCCCGTCAAGGAGAACGGGAACTGTGAGGCGGGGAATATTCAGCCTACGAACAGCACTCTGTAGTCTGACGCGAGCGCTATGAAATCGAGGGCAGTGAAGAAGAAGGTGCTCCACTGTATCCTCCTGGGTCGGACACCACTGGCAGTATGGGGAATCTACCAGCCGTAGACGATGGAGATGTGCGGCCAGGCAAGTGTGCCCAATCCGGAGACGAGTGATGGCAGTGTCGAGGAGTCGAGAATGATGACGAGTCCATGGACGCGGGGTGGAATCAAAATTGCGTAGAAATTGCGTCTTCTTAAAAGGGAGCGGGCATTCCAAAACACCACAGTATTCTCAGGATGGGGCGCCATTATCCCTGAAATACAACAGCTAACTTTTTGACCACCAGTGCACAGACGTCTCCAAAGGGGGAACCACTAGAAAAAGCCATAAAACCCTCATACAAAGTAAGTAAAATGTGTGGTATCAATGACTTCCAGTCCAGAGGATGTTGATCTATGCTTCTCTCTGCCTGACGGAAGCGGTGGTCGGCTCGCGAACTCTCTTGACGGCGTCTGCGACTGGTGGGAGCCTCACTCTGGGCCTCATGTTCCCCCGGTGTCACAATCCCTTGGGAAAGTGCCTGGGGGACCAGAGGATCATCAGGACTGTCTGTTGGAGCAGTACCTCCTGATCGATGGGTGTGTCGACGACGCCGGTGTTGGCTTCTTTGAGGAGAGGCAGGAGGGTGACGAGTGCTAGGCTCCGGCCGAGACTGAGCGTCCATGTCTGTATCCGTGGATGAGTTTCCGTCAGTGTCAAGGCTACCCAGGAGGGAAAATCGATTAGCAACCTGGGCGTATGAGGCATGTGACTGGGACAGGCAAGAGCGTCTGCTAGTTCCTACTTGTGAAGAGACCCGACCAGGGGGAACCTGGAGGCGAGAAGCGATAGGCTGATTGAGGGTGCGCAACTTCTGGAACAGCTCATGTCGAGGTGTCCCCGCTGTTTTATGATCGATGTCCAACTGGAGGGCCTCAAGATATACAGGGCAACTCTTAGACGTAACCTTATGATGGCCATGGCATAAAAAGCAGCGAGGTGCAGCAGAGCACCCACCGTTATTTCTGTCTGAATGGCCTGTTTTGCCGCAGTTTGCACAACGTGCTGCATTACGGCAGGTCAGGCGACTGTGGCCCAATAGATGACAAGCGTAACATCGTAACACAGGGAAATTGTAGGGCTGAACCTGATACGAGGGCCTGTGTAGTGCCACTCGGTCAGGGAGATGCCCATCGAACTTTACACGGACCATGGATGTCGGCCCTGCTGCTCCGCGAATCCTGGTAACTTCCAATAATCTCGCTGATGCACCCCCTAACACCTGCAGAGCGGCCTGGATGTCATCCACATCTACACTCTGGTCAATTGGGCCAATCTTCCCATACCGGGCTCGAGACTCCTCCTCCTGCGACAATACCTGTCGGCACCTGACAGGCCAGTCCCCCAACTTAATAATGTCGGATACACAGATGTGTGATAGAGCCTCCTTTCTGATATGTAGCTTCAGTGCTGCACCCCTACCCAGGGTACGTATGGCCTCAGGCAGGCAATGTGGCCACAATACGGAAGCCTCGATTGCTGCACCTAAGGTACGAGGATTTGCAAAGACGCACTGGCCTGATTCTGACTGGATTAGGACTACCACAAACGAGGAACGGGGTACCACAAGACTAAGGTCTTCTGAAGGGGAAGAAGTCCTCTTAGCATCTCGGTCTGGGGCAGCATCAGCCGACTCATTTTCCAGCAGACGTTTTCCTCTCTGGGACTTGCTGTCAACATCCATGGCGCCCCCGCTCGGGGAGGCGTCCATTAGGGAGGCTCCGGCCTGGCCCCCCCGAGTCCTGTGAATGGCCCCTGGGTAGCTGCAGTGAGCACACACTGGCCCAAAGAAGCCAGCTGAATTCAAAGATGAGTTCCAGGTAAGGTGTGGAAAGAACGTCCAGCCAGGAGCGTTCAATCCGCGCGCCAAGATGGCCGACCTTCGGGCGCACAACCCGTCCTCGACTCAAGTCCATTACATCCAGCGGTCGACCCCACAGACGCATTCATAAATTTTAATATGCTGTTCATTCAAAACGGGAATTTTCTCAAGTATAAATTAATATTATAATATATTAGCATATTGTGCATATATAGGCATAGGTTAGGTTAGGTTAGGTGTTTAGGTTCTGTTGGCGAGGTTATTTGTATTTGTAGTACGTGGGTGAAGCATTTATAGCGTTGTGATTCGAACAAAATTCGTCAGTGAAACACTTGTTCCGGATATATTCAAACGTCAGCAGTTGTGAGTCGTGTGTAAACCGCTTTTCATTCATAAACAGGGGGTTTGGCGGGTGCATGGAATCACTTTTGGATCTTTGTTTGGAGGACGGGCTGCTATTGCAAGTCGAGAACGAAGCTGACTGTTCTGTCTCAGCCCGTCCTCCAAACAAAGATCCAAAAGTGATTCCATGCACCCGCCAAACCCCCTGTTTATGAATGAAAAGCGGTTTACACACGACTTACAACTGCTGATGTTCGAACATATCCGGAACAAGTGTTTCACTGACGATTTTTGTTCGAATCACAACGCTATAAATGCTTCACCCATGTACTACAAATACAAATAATCGCCAACAGAACCTAAACACCTAACCTAACCTATGCCTATATATGCACAATATGCTAATATATTATAATATTAATTTATACTTGAGAAAATTCCCGTTTTGAATGAACAGCATGTTAAAATTTATGAATGCGTCTGTGGGGTCGACCGCTGGATGTAATGGACTTGAGTCGAGGACGGGTTGTCTGTCTGCAACCTGCCCTCAGACCAAGTCCATTCTATCCAGCAGTCGACCCCAAAAGACGCCTTCATCACTTTTAACATTCTGTTCATTCAAAACAGAACTTTTCTCAAAAGTAAATTAATATTATAATATATTAGCATATTGGGCATAGGTTAGGTTAGGTTAGGTTAGGTTATGTGTTTAAGTTCTGTTGGTGATTATTTGTATTTGTAGTACATGGGTGAAGCATTTACAGCATTGTGGTTCGAACACAAGTCGTCAGTGAAGCACTTGTTCCGGAAGTGTTCGGACGTCATCAGTTGTGAGTCGTGTGTAAACCGTTTTTCATTCATAAACAGGGGGATTTGGCGGGTGCATGGAATGGATTTTGGCCTTTGTATAGAGGACGACTGAGAATGTAAGAACTCTTGTATATATAAATAAAAAAATAAAGGGGCGACAACGATCGTGGGATCGGATGCGCCCCCTTACGTACCTGTGAAGGGTTAATCACTATGCCATTTTTTTTAAATTAACAAGCTTAGGTATACGCAACAATGTACTGCTACCCTGTTCTATATGAAAGAATATATTGCAGATAAAAAACTAGCTATAAGTTCATTTAATATTCCCATTTCACATGAAGGTTATTCTTACATAGAATCAGGGGACAAAATACAAACCTCAAAACAAAAAACAAATCAACTCTGACTAAACAACAACTTCACGATTTTCACAAGAGCTAAGCACTGAACCATGGAAACATTATATTATAATTACTCTTGCTAGTCTTACCCATCTAAAATCCTCTGACGCACCTGACATTAATCATCCGTGCAAGCTTTTCTGCAATCGTGTACAGTACAGTATTAGCATGTGTCTGGGTCTCTGGGAATTTTGTGGCAAAAGTTAGCACCAATTGATGAAAAAACCTATTGAATTCGATTGTAATTTATAAGTCTGTTGCAACTGTGTAACCATCTTTGGAGAGTTTTATCTGCTTGTTATGTGATTGTTGTTTAGATCTTTACCATAAATCTTAATGTCATCTGCAGATTTGATGATGTGATTTGTATATTCTCATGTATGTCATTGATTTATATGACAAAAAAGGTTGGGCCCAAAATAGACCCTTGTGGTACCCTACTCACCAGTTAATACCATGAGAGGGCGATAGTTATGAAAAAATAAATTCCTTATAGTCTGGAACAAACCTGTTTGGCTTATCGAGGTTCCCCTATATATGCTTAAGGCAACGACTGACCTTCCTAAAGATGCTGCCCCCAACAGTTGCCAAACTCCTGGCATTCATAAAACTCTATTTACTGCTAGGTGAACAGTCAGGTAGAGACTGCTAGAGACCATCAGGTAAAGTTCGTGGAAACGTGTCGAAACATTTGAATCCCACGCGGGAATCAAACCCGGGACCTTTGGCGGTAGACCGTATGTGCTGACTACTGTTGTTGTTGTTATAGATTCAGCTACTCGGAACAAGTTCCAAGTAGCACGGGCTATGGTGAGCCCGTAATGGACTTACCTAGCACAGGAGCGGGGCAAGTAGCACGGGCTATGGTGAGCCCGTAGTGGACTTACCTGGCACAGGAGCGGGGCAAGTAGCACGGGCTATGGTGATCCCGTAGTGGACTTACCTGGCACAGGAGCTGTGCTGTGTGCTGACTACTGTGTTACAGGATTATATGTGAGTTAATAACCCTTGTTATTTCCGACATATTTAATGAAAACTGTTCCATTTATATTTGTATTGCGTTGCTTATACAAATGTGCCTACCACTAAATTATATCATCCAGTATGATAGTTTCACAACTAACATACTTATATTTGCACAAATTAAGAAACATTCTTGAATTAGTAATTAATAAACATTTTTTAATATATTTAGAACTGAGA